ATACTTAAAACGGGGAAAATGTTGCAATTTGGGACAAAAGCTATCCGTGCGTTCATTCCAGTATGTAGTTGATGAAACAGAAATTTAGGTATTCAGGATCTCGCGTTGGAAGAAACAGATGGCAAGTGCGATAGGAAACGATAGGAAGACGGCGTCAACAAGTGTCTTGGCACTTGGTTGGAGCGGTTTTTCAGAGCGGGGGGGCTTCTTCCTGACGGAGCTCGTAAAGGCGGTTGCTTGCTTGCCTCTCACGCGACGCGGCCAGGAAATTGCGGCGCGTGTCTGCCAAGTGGCCGAAAGTTTAATTTCACCAGCACGACGATCGAGCTTGTCGTTTCAAACGGCTCGTTTCTCGCGTTCGACTATTGTGTCTCTCTCTCTCTCTCTCTCTTTCTCTTTCTCTCTCTTCATAATCGCGCGATTTGTACCGTAAAACGACGTTGTTCTACGTAGAATGAGAAAGAGACGTTTTAGAGACAGTTTCTCGAAGGAGATTATCTTCCTTTGATGTTGTTCTACTTTCGTTTGGCTTGGCAGAATATTACGGTCACATTTGTAGCACAATATTAGAAATTTATTGCACGAAATAATGACTGTATGGTGTAAAATATTCCTTCTCTTCGTACGATCGTTAATTTATTTTTGACGAAACTGACGTCGAATTTTTATTGAGACGGGAAAACTGTTCATTTATTCAGAGATTAGAAAGCCACGGTCGAAACGAATTTTCTCTGATGCGTATGAATGAGGTATAACGTCATCGCGCAATATTACAAATCTACAAACTAGTTCTATCTATTTCCGCCTCACTAATTTATTGATATCAACAGAATGATCCTTGAATTATTCGCAATACATCAACTCTGTTCCCAATTTTACCTCTCTTGAATATATAAATATAAATATTCTCAAAATTTGCCATTCGACAATTACCGCAAGCAGAATTCCACGCTGGCGTGTATTTTTTTTTTTTTTTTTTCAATTTTGGAAATCAATTAATCAATTTCGAACGGAGGTAATTTTATTGCTTCAGTATCATCCGACAGCGAGTGAAAAATAGAAGAATTGTTATCGATTGTTATTGGAATGAAACTTCAGCCACGAATGAAATCTAAATAAAAAAAATAAAGTTATTTAGGTTGGCAAAGAAAAAAAAAAATAATTGCGTTTTTTCCTAATGAAGACGTATATCTTAAAATTTAACTTCGTTTTTAGCAGATCGTTGTGTAATCTGATACCTGATTGTTAAAGCTTATTTCAAAAAAAAAAAAAAGAAGAAAATTACCACGGCCTCGATAACGATCGTTTGTTCGGCGTCGATTTTAGAACGGAAATTCAGAACAGAGACATTTTCGTCATATTTCGCTGTACTAGTTCTGAAACGAAAAAAAAAGCTCATAAAAAATTATCCAATGTGTAGAAGCCTTTAATTTACTAAATTTCACTACCAGTGGCGATATCGAATCGTTCTTGGAAATTTCTTTCTTTGTCATGAAGAATATGAACTTGAACGCGGAATCATAAAGTTGCCTGAAAGATGGTAATTATATTAATAAAATTTTTATTTTTCGTGAGAAATTCGCCTTTCATTTGCACACACACACACACGCAAAACGCAGTTACTCTTTGGCTAACCTAACATTATTTTCAACAATAATTTTTCCTTTCTGCGCTTGAAACAACAGGAAACTCTGTCCAATATGGAATTACAACGCTGCACGTAAAGTGCAAATAATGTACAAAATAATGCGAGAAAGATCGACGAAGTGAGAAAATACAGGAGGCAGAGAGCCTTTCGGCCTCTTATAAATTTTAATCAAAGAGGCGACACGACAGCCTGTCCCGAAGAGTTAACACCTGCGTGAAACCAGCCGAACCAGATGATCCTGCATGTTTTATTACACCGCGTTTCCTTGTTGACTTTCCAGCCCGCCAGCCCCCCTTTCCGGAATCCTTACGCCGGCGGAATCATCCTTTTTCACCGTGGGACGCGGCCGGAAAGTTAATTGAAGCCAACGACGCGAAACGCGTCAGTGAAACCATAAAGAGAAGAATGGCGTCGGCGATGGCGGAATTATTCCGGCCACGTGTCATCGATTCCATACGCTGTCACTGTCTGTCGACTGAATTGAAAGAGGAAAGAAGAGGAAACATCCGCCTGGTTGGTCGGCCAAAGTTGGCGAGACGCGAACGATCCAGTTACAATGCAATCCAAGCCTTTCCTCTCATCTGGAAATCACTTCACGTCGCGGTGAAAAACTGTCTTTCGACCGGCAAAGCCACGTGCAAACGTGCAAAGTCATGAAACTTTGAATGATCTCGGAATTCTTTCGCTGATGGGTCGAAATTTTTCATCGAGTTTGACAAGACGAAATCGATGACATACGTCTGCATTTTAGGAAAAAATAGAATATTCATAGATATTAGATATTTTATCTTGTTATTTGCACCTTTCTTCCGTAAGATAAATGATATGACACTCTGACACTGTTGCAAAATAAATGCTTCCTCGTCAGTAAATCCATCAGTATTGAGTCGAACAACAAAGCATTCAGAAAAAGAGATTGCTATCTCGCGGATCAATTTTCATTTCCCTTATTCGTATTTTCTCTCTTCGCGCGATTGGAACGTTTGGGAATAATCTCGCGTAGCCTGTGTTATTTCAATCAATTAATACGGCGAATGGAACGTGCCGCTAGAAACAATGAAAGCTTATAAAGCACAGATCCGTGCGCAGCACTATTATGAAGGTCCACTATCGAATGTTAACTTGTTTGACAGGTTCGTCGAAGATTAAATATGTATATATAATCACTCGATACGATAGAGCCGCGTTTATTATAACAGATAAAATGTCCCAATAAATCGTACGTAATTTTCAATCGAACGTAGAACGATATTCTCGATATTCTCTAATTCAGGAAATAAATTGAACTGGCCTGTCTTTGAGTATTGCTAAAAAATCGACAAAGTGTATTTAGCTCTGGGACGACGAGGATTCTTCGACTATAGAAGAATAATAATCGTATTATACAATTACAAAATAAATTAGCAAGTCAATAAGTTCATATAAACGGAGTTCTGCGCTGTCTAGAAATACTTGGAAATTGGGGATAAACAAGAAATTACTATCGTCGAAAGATGGATGTTTCAAGCCTGTAACTCTGTTCGACCGAAAGCTAATCGCATCTCTGAAAATTTCAGAGATATTTAAATGTTAATGACCGAGCTGGGTCTCTAACTCTAAAACGAGACAAACTTTCAGGCCTGTGCTTGAAAGACAGTTTGAAACTATCGATTTTCTATTCCTTTGAAAATAATCTCTATAAATTTCAACTGTACAATTTCTCCGTAACAAAATTTTGACATTTCAGTCGATACATCGTATCGTATAAAATACGGCGTTAAATAAATTATTATCATAACCTTAACAAAGAGTATTTTAAGCGACAGTTTACAAGCGCGTGTGCTTGGAATATTGAACAATGGATGTCCGAGATATAAAAATTAATCCGAGTGTGGCTCACGTATATCAATTAGTCGACAGTGAGCAAAATCGTCCGATCAAACTCCATCGCCTCGTTTCAACCTCGTTTTGTCGAGAAACGAAACGAATACTTCCACACGGTTGCATTAAAGCGAGAAAGCGACGAAGAAGACACCGAAGCAACCACATTGTTCCCCCCGAAAACAATGAGCGAAGATGAACCAGCACGACGATATATTAAACACGTAAAATATTGTCATCATTTGCAATTCACTGTGCTCTCAAGCATTTCTCTGTTGGATCTATTCCTTCCGGGAGATTGTTCCTTCCTTTTCTGAAAATTGTTTCCGTCCCTTTGCTCACAATTCGCTGAAAATATTAGAGCATCTCGCCGCGGAGAACTTTTACGTAGCCTGCTCCGAGGTACATATACTTTGCGCGGCCTGTTTCCTAAAAATCTGGTACACATTTCTGCGCCTCAAAGTCCATTTTTTGTCCTTTCAGCAAATTCTGCAATTCTGTATGCCATTGTTACTTTCTCCGCGGTACATTCAACAATTCTACATTCGTGAATTTTTGTGAATATGCGTTTGTGACGAGCGAATGTCAACTGTAAAGGAAGTAGAAAAAAAGCCAATGCTTTCAGGGACCGGTTCCAACTGTCCAAGGGTTATATATACAGGGTGAGTCTCGTAACGTGATGACATCAAGTAACTCATGAAATATTTGTTGTACGAAAAAATGTTCAGATAGCAGTTGCATGGTCTTACATGGGGACATGTAGTATTGTAATCAATTCTATGTTATTTTGCTTTTTTATCAAGCTATAAAGGTCTTCAATTTTTTTTAAATGGAATAGTTAATATTTTTTCCTGATTTCGGATAAAGCGTTGAACTCTACATAAGAAAGTATTACACCAAATAGGGTCTAAAATACATAGTTACTGAGATTAACGGTCTTTTCTAAGTACAATATTTTACAATGTAAAAAAATATTAACAGTGACTATGTATTTTAAACCACGCTTTATCCGAATTCAAGAGGAAATATTAACTATTCCATTTAAAAAGAAATTGAAGGTGATCTTTGTACCTTGATGAAAAAAGCAAAATAACATAAAAGTTCTTTATGTAGGATTCAACGCTTTATCTGAATTCGATATTAAGCAATATTAACTATTCCATTTAAAAAAAAAATTGATGAAAATCCTTCATACCTTGATTAAAAAAAAAAAAAAAAGCAAAATAGCGTAAAACTGATTTCAGTACTATATGTCCTCCCCCTGGAAGCCATGCAACCTTCTGTCTGAAACATTTTTTCGTGCAACAAATATTTTACGAGTTATTCTACGTGGTCACGTTAAGAGGCTCACCCTGTATATGTTCGATATAAAATATAATCTCGTCGGGGATCGATATCCCGAATCTGGGATCGAATCGCGGCTCGTACAGCACCATGAAAACTGTCGGAGATCGCGAAGGCCGTGTTTGAAAGACCTATTCTACTGCCTTACCTTCGTAATAGCACGGAAGCAAGCGTAGCTTCCGTTCTGAACGGGCGAAGTCTTAACTGCAGATTAAACCAGGTACAACCATTGTGGAGGGTCTGCTCGAGGACCCGCGTCGCGCACTATATATATATAGATATATATATATGTATCTAGATACGTTTTTTTGTAGGCCGTTTTACCGTCCTCTCTTCTCCCTGTTTTCTTCTTCTTCTTCTTCTTCTTCTTCTTCTTCTTCCCTTTCTCTTCGTCTCCTCGCTTCTTACATCTCCACTCAATTTTCCCTCCTGAGAGAATAAATCTCCTCTTGCGCGTTCTCTTCTTCCTTCCTTCGTTGTCGACCTTTTATTTTTTTTTTTTTTTTTTTACACTCCTTCTAGTTCCCCGTTTAAATTATTCTTAAGCTGGAGGTAGAACTCGAAGAACGGCTGCAGGAGGAGAACCGCGCCCGAAGGTAATAGTAATTGAACTAGGCGAAATCGTAAACTCCGAAAGTGAATAATATTAATACGATATTAATTGACAGCATTCGTTTTGGTCGTTCCTCTCCCCCCACCTCGAAAGCGTTTCTTCTTCGTGAGATATTTTATCGCGCGTGTTCCCGCGCGCGCGCGCCAATAACGTAGATGTCCTCCTTATCGGACGACGTGTAAATCTCGAACGAGTAGATAAAACAATAGATCTGAATAATAACTCTTCCTCTTTCTCCAGAGAGACATATATATTACATATATATATATATAGTAGCTTTTTCTTCTTAATAATTAACAATCCATTTATTCATATATTTTTATATATATATGTACACACGTGTACGTGGTATCTTTAATCTCGCTATCGTCAAGCTATCGTTATTCCGTCGACGAGCCTCTCTTCTCTACAACCTTCTCTCCTACAGCCTTTCTCTCTCTCTCTCTCTCTCTCTAATCGATATGTCAGACTGTTCCCATTCGTTCGTTTTAATTATTCACCCCTGTTTCTCCCCTCGGCGCGGCGAGCCTCCTCCTGCGTCTTCGCCGGCTCGTCGCTCGTTTCAGCCTCCAACGAGCGCGATCTAAGACACTTCTCCTCCGTCGAGCACGCGTTACCTGCTTCGTTCGTTGCCTCTGTGAAAATGCAATTGCACACGCCGGTGATGCACGTCGGTCGCGTTCCGGGGAGCGCGCAAGAAGAAGAAAAAGAAGAAAAAAAAAAAGAAAGGAAAGAGAAACAATACGAGGAACACGGGACTCGATCCCTTTCCTTCCTCCTCGCTGGCGAATCGTCGCGCTTCATACGCGTTGCTTATCGAAATTTAAACGCGGCCACCGCGAGAGCTGCCCGCGCGAGATAACGCAAAGGATGTCAGCAAGAAAGCCGGCGAGCCACCGGATTCACGATGCCCCGAAAGTTAAGAGCGTTCACTGGCTTTATCCACCCCGTCATCCCCCCTTTTTCGTTCTCTTTCTCTCTCTCTCTCTGATAGAATTTTGCCAACGTCGCCTGTGCGCATGCAGAGGAAATTACTGTTGTTTCTAACTCGATTCTTATACGTATTGGAAAGCGATGAGAGTTGGACGGGACCAGGGAGGAAGTGAAAACTGTCGGTCGATATTTTCTACCAGCGATTTGACCCCTGTTATCTAGGCCGTACGTTTCGCCAGAATCCTGCGAGCGTGCTCTTTGCAAATGTTAGCTACGATACAGTTGATTCCTCGGAGAGAAAGATGACACGAGATAGTTACTTCACTATTCAGCTGTTCGGGTGATTCGTCATAAATTTATGATCGTTGACCAAACTTCGTGCAGATGTGTGACGATAACAAAGGTGGAAGTTACGTAGCTGTTAACTACTCGTGAGTTTGCACTGTTTGGAATGAGAAAATTCGAAGAATGTCGAGCAACTATTACGGTTGCGTCGTTTAGAATGAGAAAACGAAATTGTTCTAGTTTTTAGAAGAAACAACCACTTTGAAAGACAGGAGTGTCTTGGACAACTGCAAACGCTGTGAAAATTAGCACGATACTAATTCTTGGGAAACGTATATGAACATTATAAAATGATAAATAAATGTATATTGCACATGTAAATATAATGAAATTATAAATATATATGTATAGTATACATAAATCTAATAAAATCATAAATAAACGTATATAACATACATGAATACAATAAAACCGTAAATAAATATGTATAATATATACAAATAAAGTAAAATTATAAAAAAATATGTATAATTTATATAAATATAGTAAAAATCACAAGTATGATAAAACACGTGTAAATAAATATGTATAATATATACAAATGTAGTAAAATTATAAAAAAATATGTATAATTTATATAAATATAGTAAAAATCACAAGTATGATAAAACAGGTGTAAATGAATATGTATAATATATACAAATGTAGTAAAATTATAAAAAGGTATAATTTAAATAAATATACTAAAAATCACAAGTATGATAAAACACGTGTAAATAAATATGTATAATATATACAAATCTAGTAAAATTATAAAAAAAGTACGTATAATTCATATAAATGTAGCAAAATCACAAGTATCATAAAACGCGTGTAAATAAATACGTATATAACATACATAAATATAATAAAATCATAAATCAATGCATGCGAGGTACAAATAAAAGTGCGAACGATTTCGCCATCTTGCTCGCTTGGAAAATATCTCCGCTATAACAATGTATCTCTGCGAAACCGAAGAACACTCGGCTAACATAACCCAATAACAAAGTTCAAGGATAACTTTGAATTCTACCGCGAAGAAGTTTACATCTGAAGTTATACACGCTTCAGTACCGCAATACCGAGTATTTGCCACCTCGATTTCGAGATGCCGGATTGTTTCACGCTTCGAACTTCCATTGCGCCCTATCGATCCATTCCGCGAGGAGTTACATCGCTTTAAACGTTCGAAAAGTTGCGAGAGAGCCCGCTACGGAGATGCGAGGGGACGTTTCTCGATTCGTCGAGGATGCCCGGACGTGTGTTGTTCGTCGCGAGACCTTGCTTTGCAGGAGAACAGCGGAAAAATCGTCCAAGGAGCTTTTCTCGAGGCTCCGCCTGTAATATTCCGCGGATAATGGCCCCCTAATGCGATAAGGCCGGAACTTTAAATAGACTCGGCCATTGTCGACACGAAATTGTGGCCTAGAGTGGATAGAAAGTTGAGAAGGAATTAAAGTCGCGGAAGTTGACGCTTCTTCAATGAGCTATTGTAGCGAAATTAACCTTGTCGCGACTCCTCCAATTTTTACGTTTCAACTTCACGCCCTCATTTGTCAAAATGAGGTTTGTCCAACGTTGAATCTCATCGAGGAAAGAACGCACATACACTTCGAGGAAGAATCGTTTTGCCTTTCGAATGCAATCGGGATGTTTCTTAATTTTCGAGAGGAAGATATTTTTTAATTTTCGAGTGGGTGGGTCGGAGACGACCGAAGAAAGACGACAGAACAGCAGGGTTAACAGGAACTGTCCGCTTTAAAAATTGACACTCGTTGCAAAGGCTGTTTCTCAGACAGGGTTATTCCACGGCTGATAGATTTTTGTATTCTTTTCCTTCGTCGTAGTCGAGTTATGCTACGTTTCAATATTTGTCTTTTGATTTTTGTTCTGTTCTTTGCATTATTTCTATGTACTCTATTGTAGAATATTCGCATTTTGTTAATTTAAATATTAATTTTTTATTAATTTAAACGCAGAAGGAAAATCTCAATGTACAGAAGAATCTAATTCCAATGTACAGAAAACAAAATGAGTATAGTAAGTCGTAAAATAATTACACGTTACTAGAAAATATAATAGCAACGCGTGTAAATATTTCTTGTAAGTATTTCTTCCTAAAAATTATTGCATACCGAAATAACAAATAGAAAATTCAAGTGTTAAATACGGGGAAAATCTAATACGAAAATTCGCTTCCGGCTACGTGGAAGAAACACGCCATTGAAATATACGATCCGACCACACCGCGCGTGTACGAAATTATCCTCCATCCTGGGAGTTAATCAAGACTGGACACACGCGAGTCCCATAAAATTACACAGTCATATGTGTTTCGTACATCCAGCTCAAAAAATATCCTTAGAGTGCTTTTAAAAATATCCTTAGAGTGCTTTAAATTATTTTTCACGTCCCGAACTTTGCGAATCCAAAACCGTCTGCGAGAAATGAAACTGGAAACAAGCGCAAAAAAGCGGAGAACGATTAGGAAAGAAAGCGTTGTCAGAATTTTTCTCGCACTCGACTTTTTTTTCTAATTTTTCACGAGGCGGTGAAATGCACGTTCATCGAATAATGCAGTTAACAAGTGACAGTGAATGAAAGTTGGAAGGATCGCGTTCTCAATAAAGCGGCGTACTCCTAATCTCGGCGTAACGAAGCGGAGAACTATTAATCGCGTATGCATGCGTTAACGCGAAACGAATGTTCCACTGGAACTTCCACTTTATTGCCTCCTCTCGAACCAAAACAGTGGCGTTACAGTTGCCAGAGTTACGTCGAGGTTTCTCGCGGAGGGCAAAATTGCCTGCCTTCAGCAGGAAATAATTCAATTTTAGTACGTGTTGGTGTAAATGAAATAATTTTCGTGCCTCGCGACTGAATGATTTCTCATCTATCGATGTGCAACTTGATGCGAATTACTGATAATCGGGGAAACTTTCGTTCCCAATTTGAAACGAGAGAGAATAGGCCGAATGAAAATTTCCAAAAATTGACAGCGTCGTAAGCTGCGGACAAAGGTGATGAAATATTTCATTACTCGGAAAAAAACTTTTGGTGAACGTTGCACAATTGCAACGAAACACATTGGATCTAGAAAGAATCTCTCAACTGTTGTTGTGAGTAGAAAATAATTAACAGTCACAAGAAGGAGCGAGAATGTTTCTCTTTATTCGAAGAAAATTCGTCGCTGTCTATCACGTAATGAAGGAGAAACCCTGTGGAAAATTTTCCAAACGTGATTGATCGGATAACAGGCTAATGGTATACACACGTGGCGTGTTTCCCAATGCGACTTAGGGGAGAGCCTAGGCCGGTTTTCTGAAATGAAAATTTCGTGAATCACTCTGCGATCGATCGGCCGATCAGAACGAACGGGAGAGAGAAAAATTGGAGGAAAAGAAAAATACGGAATTTCCAAACGTTCGAGCCAGCGCACACACACACACACATGCGCGTGCCCTCTCGTCGAGCTAACGTGCTATTGACCCGTTAAACCAATTTCCGGGGCGCAATTGCAGAAGATTTTTATTGCAGGGAACCGCGATCGTTTCCGTCTGTTCCTCGTGGTAACTTGCCGCCACGTTCAAAGACGAGAGATCAAAAATATTATACCTCGCGTATACTTTCGATACACGCACCGTGAATCTATCCTCCGATCCCTGCGAATTGATCTCGATTCGCGAAAACTTCGACGAAGTTGAGAATTCTAGATTGAAATCGTCGTAGTCGATCGTTTAGATTTGTCGTTTTTGCAGTTGTTAAAAGCGAACGCTTTTGATAAATCTTGATGACGATTTTCGTTTCAGGCAGAAACACGACCGTACAATTTTGTCGTCGATTGTTTTGAACATTTACTGCCGAACTGTGTGTACTGTGATAACTGCTGCGTCAAGTTCATCACCCTCTCGTCTCTTCTCATCGACAGTTAACCACTTGCGCTGGCAAGTGATTGCGGACCGTAACGAGTGACTCAATAATTCGTCGGTATCTTTTCCTTTTAAACTCGTCGGCATGATGATATCACTGGACAGAAATTATTGAGAATAAATTTATTATTTGTTTTGCATGAATTACACTTAAATGTACTGAAAATTGTGAAAACATTGCAATTTTCGGACGAAGAATTCTCGACGTGCGTGGGACGTCATTCCAGCGCAAGAGACTATTAAAAACCAAAGAGCAATCCGACGAACGCTGTTCGTGACAAACGTCGGGGACCTCCGTCGAAAACTCGTGTTACATAACTACGACGCACTGAACGTGAGACATGAGCTTCCTAAACGTAAAATCGATCGAACACACTACGACGTATAAATTTCCAAGTTGAAACGGCAGTTTTCCGTATCGAGGAACTTTCGATCCAGGGGGATGAAGGGTGTATGTGTGTGTGTGTGTGTGTGTGTAGGTAAAGGCAGAGGAAGAAGAAGAGTCTTGCTCGTCTCGGGCTTTCAATGTTTCCAAGTTTGCCCGAGTTCCTTAGTTTTAACCTCCCATCCCTCGCTTCTGCCTCTGGGGTGGCTCGAGCGTGGAAGCAAGAGCACAGGCTGTGAGCATATAGAGCTGGCCATCGAAGAGACGTAAGAAACGCGGAGAATTCGTATTATCGAAGAGATTTGTCTGGCAACGACCGCAAAGGGGGCTCGTTTCGCCGCTCGCGCGCCGGTTCTCTCACCGGCCACGAAATTTCTCTCGTGCCTCAAAGAACGTCGAACCTCTCTCCTCCACCCTCCCCCCTCCCACCCCGACAAGCGTTCCGTCGTTGGAATTTCAAGTCGCCCTCGTACTTTCCCGTTTCTCGCGAGTCGCCATAGCCGGCGTATTAAGCGACTCCTCTCTCTCTTTCTCTCTCTCTCTCTCTCCCCGGAATTTTAAACCAAATGGAATTTAAAGCAACCGCCCCGGCATCGACCGGTTTTTCCGCGTCGCGCTCCCCGCCACTTGTTTTCCCACTCCCCTCGAATTCGAACTTTCTTCTCGTCTCAGGGGGAGGGGCGAGAAGACACGACGTTTCGCGAACGCGGAAACGCAGCATCGCACGTTCCCAATCCGCGGCCGCACGTTCGTAGAACATCACTGAATTCGCAGAATCTCTCGCCGCGATTGATGCCAGCCAACGTCCGCCAGAATTCGCACATTGATACTTCGTCGCACTCACTCTTGGGTAACACGATCGTGCACGTAGCAAATATCGGCGAGAAGATACGTAGCACCTCGAGCAGGGAATCACACTCGCGATCGGAAGCCGGGCCGCAAGCCGGGAAGCTTGTTCCTCGGCCACCGACCAACCACTTACATCTCTCTCTATATCTTTTTTCACCTCGCGTTCTATCCTATCTTCCGCCCGTTTTCCCTGCCACGCGCGCGTGCACGCACCGCCGACGCACTTGGGCTTTTTCCTCTCCTTTTCTCTCTCTCTCTCTCTCTCTCTCTCTCGATGAAACACGGTGTTGCGTCGTTGAGTAATACGTGTATGTGTGTGTGTATGTGTGTGCAAGCCGCGAAAAAGAAGGTCGTCGGTCGTTCGTTCACTCGGAAGCCTTGCCGGCGTTCTCGGAGCGCCGTCGCGCGATTTACCGGCGGGAGGACGCTGCTCGACGCCGGCACTTCCTCGCTACTAGCATTCCCCCGGCTTATCGCTCTTGCTCGACGTCTCGACGGTAAACGCGCCGCGCCGGCTCGACCTCGTCGAAAGACGCGCGACTACTGCCTACTGGTCGAATGTGGGGCAAGGCTGACCCACGCACACGCACACGCGCACGCACACGCACAGGGGCCGCCGTGTGGGCCGTGGCAAGCACGGCTCTCGCTACTGCCGGCTGGCACAACGTGTACCTCCGCTACTAACCTACCGGCCCACCCCCCTCCGCGCCGCCGCTCACCGCCGAGCCACCCCAGCGCTCGAAAGCCCCCTCCACCACGCCACGCGGATATACCCGACAACCCCCTCTGTCCAACCGACGATCAACCCCTCCAACCATCCCTTTCATCGGTTTCGCACTGCGCATGTCGCCAGTGCCGTACCGAACCAGAGCCACCCACCCTCGTTCGGCGCCCTCATCGAGCGAAATTCCGCCGGTCGATTTTTTCTCTCTCTCTCTTTTTGTTTCTTTTTCTCTTCTCGCCTCTTTCTTTCGTTATCCAGGCCTCCTTCGTTTCACGGGAACTTCTCTTCTACTTGCCTCTTCCTCCTTCCCCCCCCCCCCTCTTTTCTTTAATCGTCGAAATTACGTTTCGCCATAGTTCGTCTGGTTATTTACCCCGTGTTTTCGTTTCAGGTGTATCGATTCGCGACGAAGCGTTTTAGGGACGGAGATTAAAAGGGTAGTAAATAGGTCGATTTCGTTCGGCGTCTGGGCTAGGCTTGTTACACGGGTGTTTTCAGGCACGAGCCGAACTCACCTCAGGGGAAGGGGGGAAGACGGTGTAGTCCCGGGGTTCAACGAACTCGCTCGGTTGGATGTCAGTTTGATAACGGCCGAATTTCTTACCATCACTTGTTACACGCTCGCGATTATTGAATCAAATTGGCGGTACTTGCCAATTCAAATTGCATGGGCATCGGGATGGAATTAGAAGTTGCAGATGTTTGATTTACGTTGCTCGTTAAATATACGATACGTCATAAATTCATATATCACAAGGATGTGTTTCGTGCGATTACTCGCGGAAAATTCTGAACGTAGTGCCTCTACTTTACGAGCGTTTCGTCGCAAACTAACTGGACGGAGCTCGTTTATTTCTTCCACCTCGTGTACTAATTGTACAGCGAGTTTAAAGCTCTTTTCAAACTTAATTTTGACGTTCCTGTCCTTGTTTAAACCATCGATCGCTGATTTTTCTATTAAGAAGAGATTGCTGTTATCATCTTCTTCGTCTGTAAATTTCATTAACTCAAATAATTTTGAATCTGTAATGGACCGAAACTCGCGACGCTTGACGGATAATCAAATTTTTACTGCCGTCGTTAGTACAATAAAAATCGCCCAGTTCAACTGGGACAGCCATCAATTTTAAAATTCAATTCACCCCGTGTTGTAAAGTCCTTTCATCTATTCCATATTCTCTTTCATTTATTCTTTCATTTTTCTTGTTTTCATCTTGCATGCAGAATTTACTTCTCCATTCTAACCGAAATCGTGCAAACGACTAACTTCCCCTCTTTCGTTTATCCATTTTCGCAAACACAGGGCGCACTTGCTCTTATCTACGGCTTATCGCGTTACTTTTCATTGTTGCTTCTCAAGTGTGGTAAAGAACATTTGACATTTCACCTGTGTACGCTTCCGTCGTTTACTCGATTGCGTAATAATCCCAACGTAAAAATAAAAATAGAGGGGAAAGAAAAGTTGAGACCGCACTTTATTAATCCCACGTGTAAGTAGCCGGAAGCAATTTATCAGGACCTTTTTCTTTTTTTTTTTTTCAACGAGCACACGCCTTGCTCGCGTGTCGTCCGATGGGAGTACGCGAGAGGATTACGACGCTGCGTGGACACGCTCGTGCAGATACAGTGGGGAAATTTTATTAAAAACTCTTGGAGACCTCTGCAGCACGCTGCTCCTTTCGCGGTTCGTACCGATATAAGGATTCCTCGAGTAGAAACTCAAGAGACAAATATCACTCGAGAGAGGTAACATTTATTACAAAAAGAGTATGATGGCAGTATTGGAGAGGAGATGGTAATATTTATTAGGAGACAAAAGTACGAGGCACTTGCATATTTATTGAGAAATTGTTTTATCATTTTTTTTCAGTAATTTGAACACTCGGTGCAAAGAGAGTATGTAGCTTTCATTTATAATTAAAGAAACGAGAGATAATTTTTCATTGCAGTTGTCGTTATGCTTCGATTAACGTGTCACTGTGAATCAATCAGAGACTCTATGTAATATTATAATATTTATATAATATTATATATTATATTATAATATTTATATATATATTATAATATTTACATACATAATATTATAACATTTATATATATAATATTATATATTATAATATATTATTAAATTTTTATATTATTATATATTATAATTTATATTATTTTATATTATTATATATTATTATACATTTTATATTATTATATTATAATTTATATTATTTTATATTATTATATATTATAATATATGTATAAATTTTTTATTATATCTAATATATAATACTATATATCATATAATATTTGTAATATTTATTTATAATATTTATATTAATATTTGTCATTTCTGATCCGACTTCGTTTAACGCAGTTACAACTTCGCTATATCAATTAATCGTTGCATTCTCAATCTACAAATAAGAATTCCAATTCACGTGCAGTGATTCCAAATCTCCTTCGAATTCACCACCAAGGAATTAACAAACCCAGCTGCCAAATCAGCGCAGCTGATTCAAACTTTTTTCGCGAGAATCCGAGAGAGAAGTTGGGCGAGATTTCAAACGGGTGAAGGGGAAGGAGTGTCTGAATGGTAGGGGAGGGTAGTTTTCCGCGTGATACACCATCACGTTGCACGGAGAGTTCGTGGCGCGGCAAACGCACCGCGGCTTAAAAATCTATTTCACCGAATCGGAGCGAGCTGGTGTTTCGCGGAGCGTCGGGCATGCGCGTCAACGCGACACCGGCTTATCCGATGCCGGGAGAATGGCCTCGATTCTCGGGTGTTGTGCCTCGCGGACGATGAAAAATCGCGGACGAGAAGCGGCCCCGCGGTTTTTGTTCAGCGCTGACAAAACGTCGCGGCCGCGTACACCGACTGTGCCACGTTCAACAGTTTACCCTACATTCAACAGTCTTCCGCGAGCTGAGGAGGTGGGGGGAGGGGGGAGCGCTTTTGAACGTAGCCAACCCCCCCCGAGGACAATGACTAAGCGCGATGAAAGGATTTCAACGGACACCGAGGAGGAGTCGACCGAGAAAGAGAGGCTTTCAGAACAGCCAGGGCCAAGAAGATCGACCGAGAGAGAAGCGTGCTCGAAGAAGCTGTGAGAAACGGCGAGACCTCGATGGTTTATGGAGCGATTGGCGAGGTGGATGGCTACGTTTTTGGTGCCACGTTGATGGCAGCAACTGGTGCAAATGGCTCTATGGAAGTCTTCCTTCCCCTGCTTTCTCGTATTTTTTTTTTTTTTTTTTTTTTTTTCTTTTTTTCTGATTCTTGACAGCTGGAGAAAAGTTTGGCTAGAATTGGGATTAATACGAAAGGGAAATAACGAGAGATTTTGGTAGCTTGATGTGCGAAAGTAGGAATAATGGGGGTTGAGGGTGAAATTAATGGGAAAACGTAGACAGATGACGTTTGTTATTACTAATTCGATTTGTTATTACTAGTTCGATATGTTTGATCGTGGATTCGTGATTTGTTCGGAGGGAAATGAACGATGATTCGAAACGGGGAGACAGGAAGACAGAGCGTACGTTTATCGAAATACATTCGAAAAAAATACACTCCAGAGCATTGTGCTCCGTGAAAAGCGAAACAATTTGAAATTCGCAACATCTCGTTTCTTCGTACGATATTAATTGCCACGAGCTTGAATCATCGTACAAAACATGCATGAGAAAAAGAAAAAACTTCCGGCTGATATCATCATTTCTCGAACTGCTTCAATGTCTGTAGCGTTTAAATTGTCACTGTAACAATTAAATCAAACGGTGTTACACGTGTGTGCGAAATTTTTACACACGGACATTCTTGAAGAGTCACCGTTTGATTGGTAAAAAGTTGAAGAACGTTTTTCAAAGCAAAATATAATAATTTTAGTCAGAGCTTCCGTTGTCGGCTGAACATCTGCGTACGGAATGTTAGCGATAAGAATATATTCTAAGAAGCAACGATTAAGTTTTAAACTCTTTTCAACTCGAAAATAATTTACTGTCAAAAATTCATTTTTCTACTAATACGCTGTCACTACTTTTCCTTATACCATACGTGAATAATAATCCTCTGACACAGAGAAGTTATCCTACTTCACCGAACACCCGATAGCCGCACCGGGGCTGCAGCAAGCAGAGCCGAGAATTGCGCGTGTGGCACGGTGTCGGAAGTCGTCGCGAAAATGGAACCGAGTCCGAGAGCAACGAGAACCGAGCTAGCTAACTCAGAGCTCTTTTCGTCCCTCGACAGCCTCTCTCTCTCTCTCTCTCTCTCTCTCTCTCTCATCCTGCTCTTCCTACTTTTCTCCATTCGCCGGCGTTATTCTCCAGAGAAATTACATTGCGACCCAAAGCACAGTGGACTGGACGACTGAGAGCGAGAGACAGCTAGGAAAGAGCGATAATTCGCCGGAAGGCAAAGAGCACGCGGCGTATTCAACCAGTGGCGGTGTTGGATGTTGACCCGTGGTGTGAGAGTCGCGGGGCAACTCGATAACCGATCTTTCTTCCGAAAGATTCACCCGTTTCCCAGGG